CGATGCAGCCGTGCAGGATTCTTTTTGTATTGTTGCTGTTGGCCTCGCTCTGTTGTCATATCATGTTACTTTGTACAAGTATCATTACATGTTTAATTAATCCACACTGGGAAGTAATGAAAACAAGTGCTGAGCCAAGGATCGTCTGGTTTAGTGGCATGACTGCCTTTTCCCTTGACATAGGAGATTTTTCATACCAATGAGAGTTCGCCTTGGATCCAGTAAAAAAGGTTAATTCCTTTATAATGTAATGAATTAAAATTTAAATTTCTATTAAAAAATAGACATTTAATGCTGGATGATCCTTGAATAAAATTACTTCCGCTAAAAATATATGCATGGGTTAAAAAAAAAAAACAAGTGCCGTGGTGTATAGATAATAGTGAGGGGATAAACAGGAGCAATATTACACCGTTAAAATGTCTGCCGGATGGCTGAATTACATGCCCAAATTATCCTGTCGACCACGCGACAATTATTCCCTTGAAAATCTGAAACCCAAGCCCCGAGAATGTGCCGACCAATCATCGATTGTTCTCATTTTTTTTTTTTATCAGACTAATTCTACTGGCTACCGGTATGAATGTGTGTGATTAATGTAATGTAAATACCATCAATCGGATTCTTAATGCTACTTTAACCTTATTTATAACTCACTTTTAATATGTTTTAACAGTATAAATTTTTTTAAAAAACTCATTAACTTTATTTTAAAAGTTAATAAATTTTTAATTTTATTCTTATTAAATATACACACTTTAATAATATATTTTCTTTCTCCAACATTAAATGAAAGGTAAAAAAAATTTATAATAAAAATTTAATGATGTAGCTTATAAATAGGATCAAAATATTTATTTTCTCTCTGCTTTATAAATAGGATCACATAGAGTGTAGGATAAAGTTAACAAATTTTATACTGATTAAAAAATGTTAGTTATAATCATGAAAGGGAAAACTTATAGCCTTAATTTTATATGCTCAATGTAATTATTTTCAATTAAATTAATGTATATATACATATATATTATTTATTCCATAACAAAATATTACTCTTTTCAGTTCTATTTATGAGTAACTTTCAATATATTTTACTAAAATCAAATAAAACTTTAAACTTCATTAACATTATTTTAAAATCTAATAAGTTTTCATCTCTATCTCTAATAAGGATGAAAAGAATTATTTTTAATAATTTTTCCTAACTCTTGATAAAGGCAAAAAGGTAAAGATAAATACAAAAAATAGTAAAATTCCATATAAATAAAATAAAAATTAATCTTCTCTCTACTGTACCTTATATTATATTGAATTGATAGAATAAAAGTATATTAAATATGTAAAGTTAAGCACATAAGTCTTGCTCATCATGAAATTATAAAAAAATACACAACTTTTCAATTTTATTCTTTTTTGTAATCAATGACCCTAATAAATTATGGTTTAAAAATTCAAATAACAATAAAAAATAATGGGTAAAATTTTAAAAAAATCATTAATTATTCTAACTGCAGGGAAAAAATATCTTTCAAACTTCGTCTTGAGGACCGGTGGGAATGACTTGTAATGCTAATAATCAAAAGAAGAAGTCTTTCAAAGAAACTAGTACAACTTTTTTACAAAAGAAAATTTAGCCCAACTAAATTTCTTAATATTACACTAATAAGTTATATATAGAACCTGAACAAATATTATTTTATATATGAAGAAAATTAGTCACTTACTCCTTATAATTTTGACCCTCTTATAATTCAGTCTTTGAACTTGACTCGTTGTAACTTAGTTCTTATAATTTTAACTTGTTGTAACTCAATTCTTGAATTTTGTTTCTTACAAATCAGTCCTTATAGCTTTAACAATTTAAATATTGATCCCTATATTTTAAAAATAAAATTATAAAAATTAAAAATATTTTAAAATTTTAATATTTATAAAGATGAAAAGGGTTTAGTAATTTAAAATATTAGTCATAAATTTCAACATAGAGTTAATCTTTATAGTTTTATTTTTTAAGATACAGAGACAAATATTTAAATAATTAAAAACGTGACTCAAAATTTAAGAACTGAGCTGCAATCAAGTCCAAACTTTAGAAATTAAATTACAGTGAGTCAATATTGAGTTATAACTAAATTAAAACTATAAAAATTAAATGATTAATTGTTTCTCATATATACTACCTTCAATCATAAGGCCTTATAGCCTAATACATGGTTATTATGGAAAGCAATTAAGTTTTTTTTTTTGGGTCAAAAAGCAATTAAGTTGGTTAATTGCATTCAATATATGTAAAAAAAAATGCCATACTTTCTCTAACATATCCTAGCCAATTGAATGATTGATAACAAATTAAATTTAGTTCAGCCAAGTGTCTCATTCGATTCTAATTACAAGTCAAAGTTAACCGCTTCACGATTATTAAAAAACTGGTGGCCGATATCCTTAAACTCGGGGGGTGGGGGGGGGGGGACCTCGCCTTCCACTTTGCTCTCTAATAAAATTAATATTCACGATGAAGTGCTATGTTAGAATTAAAAGTATACCAGTCGATTCATATGAAACACAAAGAAACTAGTAATAAATGAATGAGGGGCAGGTTTGGAAAAGGTGTAAACACTACACATTCATTATGTATTTTAGACCACGTAGGGAGCAAGTACCTTGTCGTATAATTAAATCCCGATGAAGTATATACTTTTAAAAACACGAGTAGTTTGGTCTTGGAAGACTATTAATAGATGGGGAGACAAAAATGTTGAATATCTCATAAATAGGGAAAAAAAATCTATAATTTTTTATTAGGATTAGAGGAGCAAAAAACACAAACGTCACATTATTTTCGTATGAACCTTAAATTGATCAAGCAAGTGAAATTGCTCAAAAGAATCTAATTAACATTGGGGAAAAAAAATTCAATTGTGAATCTCTTGGCCAGACTTAATTTCAATCAAAAATCTTAAAATTATAAAATTTTATTGCATATGTGAGAGACTAAAATGAAATTAAAGAGTTGATTGAAATGGCACTATTGCCCCTGTGAATATAAACAAGTAAAATTAGGCGCACAAACAACTCGTGCAAGGAAACTAAATAATTAATATATGAAAAATGAACATCTGATATAAATAAAGTGATAATTGCAAATTTATAATGGTGCTATATTGTTAATGAACGTTATAAATTTTATTTACGTTAGTTGTTTATTTTCTATACATTAATTATTAATTTTTTTATATGAGTTGTTAAAACGCTTACCAGGGAGAATAAAATTATTTTAGTTCTTCACATGTGTGCAGAAAAATTTTAAAGGTTTTGATTGAAATTAAGTTGGATTAAAAGATTCTGGCTGAAATTTTCCCTTAATAATGCACCTGTGGAACGGAGTTGCAACTAGCCGGCCGAGAAATTTGGAGTGGTTGATATAATTAAGCATGTATAAAAAAAATGTCTAAGTTTTTTTGGTTTCCTATGGCATTCCTATAACCGACAACCATACACTAATTTCTCAAAAAATTTAAGCCTCATTTAAAGAATTTTCAGCACCGAAATGATGCTCGACGCCGACAGAAGTTGATCATATTTTCAATATACACGACCATTATATTCTCAGAGAGACAAGATGTAATTCAATAAATGCTGCGTACTTTACAAATACGTGCACGTCGCTTGATCTTATTTGCTAGAGTTTTTTCACGTCACGTGAATTTTTATTTGTAAAATTAGTGAAAACTCGCATATCGTGATGCATTAATATTTAAATAGAATTCGTAATTCATGGTGGTTATAATTTATGAAGGGCAGCGACTACTTTTTTTTTAAAAAAAAGGGAATGATAAATTTTTTTTTTGAATAAATGACTGAAAACTTTCTGTCATTTTTTTATTGGTATGAAATGCAATATATAAAATGCAAGAATAGAAAATGATATCTTTTCACAATATTACATTATTACGGAGATGTCCACAAACATCTCACTATCAATCAATACGTCCCGGCCGGTTTTGCTAGTGGATCCACCCAGGAGCCAAATGAGTCCGGTTTCAGTGCTCAGCAGCTTGCTGATCACCACGGTGCTGATCGTAAAATAACATATAAGCCATTCAAATTTTATTTTGAATGATCTAGATCTTTTTAATTTTAATTTTAATCTTATAAAAATAAAATTTATAATTTTTTTGATAAATATATTTATTATCAATCTGAATATATTCATCATCAATCTGGACAGTATTAATTAAATTTGGATAGTTTAATTTAATATTATAATTTTTAAATTAACTATCTGAATGTACTCTGAACAGTCCAATTCAACATTAAATTTTTATCTGCAAGGCCTAGATTTAAAATTTTTATTTTTATTTTATATTTATTAAAATAAAACTTATTAAAAAAATTTAATATTAAATCTGTTTATCCAGAGTAAATCTAAATAATCAGTTTATAAAAATTATAATATTAAATTGAATCATATAGAGTCTCGAATTGAATTAGTACTGTCTAAATTGATGATGAATATATTTATCAAAAAATTATTAATTTTATTTTTATAAATTTAAATTAAAAGTTTTTAAAAATATTTTTATAAAATTAAAATTAAAATTAAAATTAAAAAAGTCTGGACCATCAAAATGAAAATCTGAAAAGCCCAGATGTTTTTTTACGATGAGCACCGCGGTGCCGAAACCGGACTCGGAGCGAAACATGCACTCTCTTCCGGTGCTTACCGCGAGAGCTGTCATGTCCGTCCGCAGAATGATTTCTTTCTTCTGTTTCCCTCCATCAATGTGCAGAATAAATTATTGCTCACAGCCATGAAGAACTGATCAATAAGATCATGCACGTCCATACCATCCACGACCTCAAGCTCCCCTCCCTATAAAAACCCCTCCACGCCAAAGGTTCTCTTCAAGCCTCTCTTGTCCATTCTCTCCCAAGCGACTTCCTAGCTGTTAGCCCGCTTCCCTCCACTCCTCCTCACACAACGTTCCCATCCCTCCCAAATGGAAACTATCAATCACACCAACGGCAACGCCAACGGTAACCACGTTCATAACGCTACCAACGGGCACGGGCACGACGACCAGCCCAAATCCAAGTCCCTCAAAGCTCGCCTTCATGCTGGGGAATGCCTTTATGGCATGTCCTTCCTGAGCTTCTCGCCCACGATGGCTGAGATAGCCGGGTGGGCCGGCTATGACTTCATCATAATCGACCTGGAGCACGGCTTCGGCGGCATTTCGGAAGCCCTCCGCTGCATCCATGCCCTGACTTCCGCCAACACTCCCGTTATTGTTCGCGTGCCGGAGGTTAACCACGTGTGGGTCAAGAAGGTTCTTGACCTGGGCCCTCATGGCCTCATCTTCCCTCTTATCGACGGCCCAGAGACCGCCAAGAGAGCCGTGTCCTACTGCCGCTACCCGCCGGACGGAGTGCGGGGCGTGGCAACTCCTATTGTGAGGGCGTCGAGGTTCGGAATGGACCTCGATTACGCGAGGGAGTACTCGAAGGACTTGCTGATACTGTGCCAGGTGGAGACAGAGGAGGCGGTGGACAACGTGGAGGGGATCGCCGGAGTGGAAGGAGTGGACGGCATAATGGTGGGGCCACTGGACCTGAGTGCGAGTGTGGGGTGCCTCTCTGACCCGAGAAATGAGAAGGTGAGGAGGATGATGAGGAAGATAGAGAGCACGGTTTTGGGGGCGAAGAGGAAGGAGGGCGGGGGACCTTACTTGGCCGGCATGGCCTTGCCCTTCGACGGCCCCGACCAGTTCAAGAAGCGTGGCTATCAGCTGATTCGAGGGGCCACGGATGTTGGGCTGTTCAAGAACGTATGCGTGGAGGATGTCAAAAGGTTCAATCTCAACAGGTTGAAGACCGTTCAGGCAAATGATGCAAATGCTCAATAATCAGTGATGCGTGCAACCAGATAGGACCAATAAGAGCTGCCACGAGAATCCGCTGAATAATATGAAGCTAGCGTGCTGCTTTTCTCTTGCTCACAGTGATGGTGTACCGTAAAATATGTAGCTGCTAAAGCTAATTGCTGTGTCTACTGTTCATGTCATTTTGATCTTTTTTGGTTTGTTGGATGGATGCAAGTTGCGGGGATTGATCCTTTCATTCTCTGCCTTGTTGTGACTCCGTAATGTGTTCCGGTTTCACTGCTCTGCTTTTATGTGCTAGTAATGGCAGGTTATGTTAATTTCCTACTTGTGCATCCCTTCGCTCTACCTTTCATATTTTAATATGGCCTCTGTTCCGTGCATGCGTCTGTTACTAATAACTTCACATGTGTACGGCACACATAAAATAATATTGAAAGGGAAAGAGGATGAAAGGAGCGTACGTACAAAGAGTATTTACAAACCCTAGTGGGCCATCTATGCAAAGAAATAATGAATAAAAGAATCAGCCAATAACATACTAATATGGGCTGCATTTGACAATTCTAAGCCCATATGGTTTGAGTTTCTTTTTAACAGTGTTGACAGCTCCCCTCGAATGAGAGACCGGATCCTTGATCAGTCCAAGTTTGTTCCTAAAGCCCAAAAACTTTGAGTGTGACCGGGCCTTGGTGAACACATCGGCGATTTGTTCCAATGACAAGACATTATGAACACGAAGCTTGCCGAGCAAGCACATGATCACCAAGCGTACATCAAGTTCGATGTGCGTTCTTGCGTGGTAGACAGGGTTAGGTGCAGGTGCAGCAGGATTGTCACACCAAGAAATAGGAACCTGAGGTAATTTCAGGCCTATTTTAGAGATTAAAGACGAAATCCATACAATTTCGGCAGCAAAATTGGCAAGTGAACGATATTCCAATTTTGTACTCGAGCAAGCCATCACACTTTGTTTCTTAACCGAACCACGCTTCTAGTGAGTTGCCAGAGGAGCGACCATCGCCAATGCGGACAGCCCAATCAACATCCGAGAAACCTTGTAAGACGAAGATATAATATTAATTCGACATTCCTATCAAATCTTGTTTTGAATCCGTTCTTGATGAATTATTTCTCAATTTATCTTTCAATGTATAAAATTATTTTTTAGGGAAATTAATTTTATATATTTTCATTTATCCAGTATTAACGATTTTTTTAAACAATGGTGATGTCGCATGATTTCATCAATTTATTGCAGTTTAAACTAGTATGTACGCCGGCATTTAATATAATTTTCAATATGTTATTTTGTTATGATAGAATAAGTAGATCGATAATCGATTTCATTAACAAAGTTATTATTGATTATAATTTATTCGTGAATGATAAAGTGAAGAAAAATGACATATGATTAAAAAAATCATTGCAAGTAAATTTTTTTACGAGAAAATTTTTAAAATATGTCATGTATAGAATATGAAATTGATGAAACAATATTATAAGCAATAAATCGAAGATATTTTTGGGACCAACATAAGTTCAGTTCCTTCATTCTATGTTTGGCAGCCTAGAAAAGTATAGGGAAAGGAAAAGTGTAGAAAAATATTATTTTCTCCTAATTAGGAAGGAAAAAAGAGAGGGAGAGAAAATTGAGAGGAATATAATGTATAAAACTCACATATTTTTATATTTAATTTTTACTTTCAATTACAGGAAGATTTTGAAGAGAAAACTCAATTTTTAAATTTACTTATGAATCTTTTCATTTCCTATCTGTTGCCTTTTTTTATTTTTATTCCAATTTTCTCTCCATTTTAAAATGTAAATTATTATACATTTAATAATTTAAGAAATAAAAATTAAAATTGCATAAAACAATTTTTCTTGCTAGAGGATAAAAGAATTTACAATTATATTTTATTTAATCAATAATTTATAATAAAAATTATATAAATAATTTTTTAAAATATTAAATTTTTATTATAAATAAATATTTTTATAAATAATAATTTTATGCTGTTTATATAAAATTAGCAACTTTTCCTCGTTGCTTAGGGTAATGTAGAAGTCCTCCAGTCTGTTCAATTTGATTTGACTTTAGAAGGTTCAATCTTGTCCATTCTTATTAAAAACTAATCCTCTAGTATTGAAAAAATTAAAAATATTAGATTTTTTTGAGTTTGATTAAACAGAAGATTGAGTATCTGAAACATTTGGTGGCATGCACCTCGACTAAATAATATTGTAGAAGTCACACCAACTATAAAGCCATGCCATGTCAATGTTAAATAGCCGCTGGCACCTTGACTAAATAACCTTGACTAAACCACTCGTATGCACCTGGACTAAAGAATTGTTCGTGATATTTTGTTTTGTTGTTCCCCTTTTTGGTTATATTCTTCATGGGTGAAGTTCAATCTTAAAAGCCTCAACAATATGGTAGCTTAAAATTTAGATAAAGATGTTTAGCCTCTCTACAATTTAGAATGTTAATAAAAAATAAAATATGCACTTTGACTCAATAAATATTCACCCAAAATCTAAATAAATATGTACATATGGGTATATTCACCTTGACTAAAAAAATTATTGTATATAATCCGTGCATCACACAAGTATTATATGACAATGACTAGGTATTTATTTATTTTTTTTTTACATAATATTTATATGGACATGTAGATGACCAGCAAAACAACTTAACGCAATTCACATGACTCACTTATAAAATAATATATATTTTTTAATTTTATTATTTATAAACATTACGAAGTGGATTCCAATTCATTAGTTTGCAGAATTTCATTCACGATCATGTAATTTTTGTCTTTTTTAAAATTTTGTCTATTTGAATATTCTCTATATAATATATATAAGATAGGCCAAAAGATGAGTTTTAAAATATTACTTGTAAGAACTCCTTTATTGTGTTAAGCTGATTAATTTTTTTTATTAATATAGGTTTTATTATTTAATATTTAGGTTCAATGATATGAATCTGTCTCAACCAACGAGCATAGTGGGCATACCACCATCATCACACAATGATGATATTCTTGGTGTTCAGGCTCGCAAGCTTGTAAATGAGCTGCATGATTCAATGAGTTTGGTTATTAGCACGGTCGCAAACTCAGACTAGTAATTTAACAATCTAGATCACTTAAATTGTAATTAAAATATTTTTCTCTTATTGTTAGAAATTATTATGAATTTATTATAATTATAGGTGTTTTTATCATCTTAGTTGAATTTATATTAAGTTGAGATGGATTATTGCTTTTCATGAAGAAAAAAAAAACTAAATAAATATTGGACTAACAGGACCAGTCTTCCAGTCCTATAGATTAAATTTAATCTCGTGTTAATTTTCAAGTTATCACTGGACCATATCGAACTACGAGTTGCTTAACTTAGTTTTTTCATGAAACAAATTAAATTTTAAATTAAGTTAAAGTTCAATCTCATTTAGTCTTCAATGCAGTCCTATCGTTGCTCATAGAAAATTGCATTTAGTTCTTATTAAAAAAAAAAAGATTGTGTTTCTTAGGCTTGAGTTGACGCCCACGCATACATACTGGATTGGGCTTAGACTTGAACTGAAACGTCAAATTCAGCCCGGTCAGCACAATGTCGTCCATACTGTTGAATATTATTTGGGCTTCAATTCCAGGCTTATTTGTCTGGATCTTCTCTTATCTGGCAAACCAAAAAAAGCAAAAAGCCTGGGTCAGCCGAAGGACTTCTATTTTTTTAATTCTGGAACCGTCCTGGCTTTGCCCCCCAAAAAAAAAAAAAACAAAAGAAAAGAAAGGAACCGTCCTGACGGAAGGAGGAAAAAGGAGACATCTTCTCGACCTCGTCCTATGATTTAATAACAAGAGTGGATTATTTTAGGGAATTTGAGAAATGAATTGTATTATTTATGGCTCATTGATGACGCAATTTACTGGAGTTTTTACATGATATACATGTAGATTTTTGTTTTAAGAGATTTCTATCGTTGTTGTGAGTGCTTTGATTTCTCTAAATTTGTTGGCGCGGTACATATTCAGAGCACAGGCCTTCCAAATTCGATAGTCACGAGTTTTAATTTTATTGTCGTTTTCAGACATTTGAATTCATTCATGCATGTCTGAACAGAGGCTCATTTTTTTATCATTATCTTCATAAAAAAATCATTTACTTTTTTAAAAATTATTTTGTGAGTTTTTATGTATTTATTTAAACTTTTTAAAAAATCAAAATTAAAAAAAATGAAATTTTGAGTGTTTTAAGAAACTACTTTAAATAGCTTTTAAAAATAATCTAATATAATGGCTAACAAGATTGTTTTAAAGAGGTAGAATACGTGAAGATATCATAAAATTTTAAAATAATATAATAATAAATTATTTTTATAAAAATATCATAAAATTAAAAAATAATTAACTAATAATTATTTTTTATTATTATAACTAAACATAAAATAATATCTGTTTTTTATAAAAATTTTATGAAATGAATCTCTTTTTATAAAATTTTTAAACTATCTAAAATTATTTATTTTTTAATTTTAAACACGAGTAGTTGAATTTATAGTAATGGACCAATTAGGATAATCCGCAAGGAGTGAGGGACACCCGCATACCATAATTAATAATGCTCTGTTTATTGTCTGAAACCATTGTGCAGGTGACGGCGGGCGACGGAAAGCAATAGTCACTCAGATTTACTAATCACAACTTGCCAGAGCAGAGCAGGGAGTGGCAGTCTCGTAAATGCACATCTACGTAGCTGCCCTGGGTAGAATGATTTAAGTAGAGAAACACGAATACTTGCACTCGACTCTTGACTCTCGAGTGCGGGTAACGACTTCTTATGATGATTAGGAGTGCCTGTGACATGCATTTTATATGATAGCAGATTCGCTGCGAGGAATTCTCCTGATTAATAGGATTTTGAAGACTAGTCACTGGTCATGTATTCTGCAACCGATTCTTTGTAACTACAAACACCAGCGCAAACGCGGACACCAAAAATTCCTTGCTACCCAACCACTCCAATCCAACTCTTGGTTGTTTGGCTTTCGAAGTTCGTGATTCTTTTGGATTGGTGTAATCACTTCAACTCACTGATAAGGAGTTCTTGATTTTGGATGCCAAGTTGACGAGATATTGCTTGTCTGCACTACACAGTATTCTAATGAAGGATCCCAAGTAAACTGGTAAAAATATGGGTTACGCGAGTCTAAACACCTTTGGGACTTGTGAGTGTTCCTTCCCAACGAGGGAGCATCGTTGTTTTTTTTTTTCCCGTTTTTTTTTTGGGGCAAAAAATTCACCCGTACTAACTTTACTTGAACAAACTCGAACCCTTGAAGCAAAGCGAAGAGACGTTAACGGTTCTACTTATACCTGCAGTCAACTCAAATGCGAAACTATGCATTACTTACCGTGGCATTTTACATGAGGAAAATAAAAAACTGAAAGAGCCGGCAGTGTCTGTCAAAGTTACTATTTATGTAACCTAACGGCATTTCAGTTGGGCAAAAGTAGCTTTACGTTTATCCCCTGCGGTTTCCGAAGAAGCTGTAATCTCACCGGACCTTTTTCGCGGTTTATCGTTTACTCCTCCCACTTGGACTTGGATGCTTTCTCGCAAACTGCAGTTGATTGTTCTCTCTCTGTTATTTCCATAAGGACCCATCATGCCAGCTCCTCTCTTTCCCTTCCTTTACTTTTTCTTTCTCAATTTGTGCTTATTCCTTCCTTCCTTCCTTCTCTTCTCATGCTCTCGGCTTCAGCTTCCTCGCACCCGCTCACAATTCTCGTCAATTCATGACGTCGCTCTCCAATGCTTGATCCTTCCTCTCCCACCATGAACGACCAGCTCTCCAAACCCACCTCAATCTTCGGTCTCCGCTTGTGGGTTGTTCTCGGGGTATGTGTCGGGGCCGCCATCGTGCTGCTTCTCTTCCTCATTTCCATCTGGCTCGCTTCCAAGCGCTCCAAGACTAACCCCGCGAGCAGACCGTCTATCCCGCCAGTCTCCAAAGAGATCCACGAGATTAGAATCGACCATCACCATGATTCCAAGCCGAAAGGGACCCGTATCCTAGCGGACCCGTCTCCCGAACTAGACCCGCTTTCCGGAATCGAGCGCCAGGCTCTGCTCCCTCCATCGGAAGAAGACAACCCGTCAGGGATCAACAGAATTCAATTTGAGATTGGGAAGAATCACAGAATTTCGTACCCTGAACGTGCTATGGCGCGGTCGTCTTCGGACGGAAGTGGGGAGGCGCGACTTGTCGATCAGGTGCCCACGGTGATTCCTGAAGTCTCGCATCTGGGTTGGGGTCACTGGTATACTCTGAGGGAGCTTGAGGATGCGACGAATGGGTTCGCCGACGAGAACGTCATTGGGGAAGGTGGCTACGGAATTGTTTACCATGGTATTCTGAAGGACAACACTCATGTTGCTGTTAAGAATTTGCTCAATAATAGGTACTCCCCCCCCCCCCCGGGCCGGGTACTTCTGGGTCATTGTAATTTGATACAAAAATTTAAGTTTGGGATGTGATACGTTCATAACGTCAGGGGACAAGCTGAGAAGGAGTTCAAGGTCGAAGTGGAAGCCATAGGACGAGTGCGGCACAAGAATTTAGTAAGGTTGCTGGGATATTGTGCTGAAGGAGCTCATAGGTACCCCGTTGCAAAATCTGCAACCACCAATTATTCCTATTTTATGCTGGAATCTATCATTCTCTGGATTTCAACAAATTCTTCTGTTGGTAAAATATTTGTGACAGAATGCTCGTATATGAGTACGTTGACAATGGGAACTTAGAGCAGTGGCTGCACGGGGATGTTGGACCTTGCAGTCCTCTGAACTGGGAAATTCGAATGAACGTTATTCTGGGAACAGCAAAGGGGTATGTAACAAGTTAATTTCTCGAGCCTCTGCTTTACTTCTTTTTTATTCTGAAGTCTAAACTGATCAGTGATATGGCTCAACAGTTTAGCTTATCTTCATGAGGGACTGGAACCAAAAGTTGTTCACCGTGATATTAAATCAAGCAACATTCTGATCGACAGGCAATGGAATTCGAAGGTCTCAGACTTTGGGCTTGCCAAACTCCTTGGCTCTGAGAGCAGCTACATTACAACACGTGTCATGGGCACATTTGGGTTTGTAAATTCTCCCTTGTTCCATCCTCTTCAGTTGCCAGCTATTCCCTGAGATCTTCCCCTTTTGCAGATATGTAGCTCCTGAATATGCAAGTACTGGAATGTTAAATGAACGAAGTGATGTGTATAGTTTTGGAATTCTTATAATGGAAATAATTACAGGCAGAAATCCAGTTGATTATAGTCGGCCTCCAGAAGAGGTTTTTCCCACGATAACTCGCTCTTGTCATCTCGATACTGCTGCTACATTTCTGTTCCTGCCTCTTTCTCTTGTAACTGAAAATGATGATTTTCAGGTGAATTTGGTTGACTGGCTCAAGAAGATGGTTAGTAACAGGAATGCAGAGGGAGTGTTGGATCCCAAGCTCCCTGAGAAACCAAGTTCAAGAGCACTCAAGCGAGCCCTTCTTGTGGCTTTACGTTGCACTGACCCTAATGCACAAAAGCGGCCTAAAATGGGGCATGTCATACATATGCTTGAAGCTGAGGATTCTCCTCACAAAGAGGTAATATAGCAAGCAGATTAGGTAACAAAAAAATAAAGAATGTACTGAACACCTTTTTCCCTTTTATTAATTAAGAAAATATATTAAGACATGCATGATGCATATTGGGAAACCAATTTAAATTTGGAAAGAGAGAATTATGAGAAGCTGTGCCTTCAATTGAATGGAGTGCTACTTTTCCATTTGCAAATTGTTTTGAATGTGCAATGAGATAATGACCTTGAAGGACTTTTAGTTGTTCATTTACTTAATACTTTAATAGACGTTCATGTTCAATGCTGCTATCATAACCTGAGTTATTGTGATAAGATCTCAGGTAATGTAAGTAAACCCACTGAAACTAAATGCAAAAGATACCGCATTGCATGTGATGGATGTCAGATGATGTGTATTGCGTATATCCCTGATATTTTTATGATCCTACCACCGTGAAGCTGAGTTTTGTCACTTTCCTCAATTCAGGATCGGAGGGCAAAAAGAGATGCAGGAAATTCAGCTAATGATGAGGATAGATTAAAAGAGGAGGCAACTGTGTCTGGTGATGATGGTAAAGTTTGAAACTGAGGTGCAGCAATGCCAGTGAGACAAGACCACACGCCTTCAAGGGGGAAAAGCAACGACTTATGCATAGCTGTAACCATAATGACTGAGAAGGTTGTGTCCCCCAACGCTCATTTCTGTACAACGTGTGATTTACAAATGCCAAATGCTATAATAATCCACCGGGCTCCAGCGTAATTTGGTCTTAATATATATATATATATATATATATTTTTGGCTTCTTACCCCTAGTCCATACAGTCTCAATAACTTCAGAAGGAGATCTGCTTCGTTTTCTTGTCCGTGCCTTTGCCTTTATGGAGGGAAGCTTGTAGCTTTACGTTGGACCAGGACATGTAAATTTATGTCATATCATAGCTTTTAACATCCATTGTAAGGCGGTTGTTATAGTCTTTTGTTTCGATCTGCCCGAACTCGGCTTGATTTAAAACACACTGCGCTGTCGAGAATGTTTTTATTACAGGAAACAACACTCAAAGACGAGACGATAACGAGACTCAGTTTTCTGTGTCTGGAAAACTAAAGGTGGTATTATTCAGTTAATTTCCATCAGCTTAATTGCAAAAGCAGATGGATTATTTAGTATTATTGTCTTTTAGCATCAATCTCCACGAGGCGGGGAAGTTGAGTATTATTTAAGTTGACTATGCTAATGCCGGCATATCAACATGTCTACTCTTGAAATCGTTATTCAGAACAGAGCTTTACGCCATGTGAGGAGAGAAATATATATACGTGGGTGTGTGTTTCGGGTGTTATATGTAATTTACCCAGGGATAACTCTGTTGTTTCCATCATTCCATACCTTATAACCCTCCTTTTATGATTAACTTTCACAGCTCTATAGGAATCTATTCCAGAGATAAGGTCAAGTTCTTTCATTAGAGATCGATCATGCTCTTCCTCGATGAGTTTCCCCTTTAATCAATGTTCCCCTGATCGTAACTTACGTGAACATAAAAAGAGCATTGGACTGCTTAAAGTGCAGCGAGGAACGTGAGGGCATCCATTTGCTAGAGAAAGAATCTATGCCGTCTTAGCTCCTAGATTGGGGATAGATCCAAATTTTCGGAATTGATAGAATGTGGCCTCACTTTAGAGAAGGTCCTTCAATGGCCTAACTCTGCTGATGAAGTTGACAAACACTACTCCGGCCTGGTTCCCGACAAGCCGTGTGTTTCTTCTTTCCTCTTGTTACTACTAGTACAATTATTTCGCTGAAAAAGCCATGTGCCTATAATGTAACTTAAGCCTCACAGTAACAAGCTGCTGAAAGAACTAGAGGAAATATGTGCACATTTAAATAAAGCTAGTCGTAATAAATAACCGCGAAGAGAGCCACATGAAGGGCGAAAAAGACTCCCAATTCCTCACAAATCTCGGAATCAAAATGAACGGATAACCCAATATATTCACATGCCCAAAGTGTGGAGCAAAAGATACATCCTATAACCATGCAAAGATTGTCACCATTGCCAATAATACCCCTTGCAGTAACTTCACCGGTTTGTCCCCGTCAGCAAAGTTTGCAGGACTCGGGGGTGGCTGGCTCCCTCCGGTGGCCTCTAATGCAGCAGGTGGAGGTGGAGAAACTGGAGGGGCATTGCAAGTGCCCAATGTGGCGTTTGCCTGTTCATATGTTGCAAAATACTCAGTCGAACGTTGGAGGTTTGCCTTCTAATATAATTGTAACTGCTAACTACTACATAAACTCCTCACTTCCTACTCTCATTAATATGGCACCAATTTGTAACCTCGCTATCACGCTACGTTAAAAGCCATGAACGAGTATGGAAAAGGTGGAGGAAATAAAACCTTGCAATACGCGATGCTGTCACACCCGCAGGTCAGATGACCGTTGGCTTCATCAACTGCTTCTGGGGCTCCTCCTCCATCACTCCTCTTCAACAACAGTCATCATCAATAAATTCTCCAGAGCTGAATTACATAACATAATCAGCAGGATTAAGGATATGAGAATCCGCGTACCTGGTAATAATCGACAGCAATGAAATTTGGCCAGCGTTTGTCAGCTGCATTGTAGCAGGTCTTCATCATCTTAAGTAATGGAGCCGAATTGTCAGCACAAGCCTGGGATCGATTGGGAGTGGAATGGAAGAAGTTCTGGAGAACCAGCGACCTTGATTTTGTGTTCATTGATGGTGACTCCGCGCGATTCGGACAAGAACCTGCTACCATTCCTTCATCTCCATCTGACATTCCCCCACACAAACAAAACTGGCCTTCAGCTCTCAAACCAAAAAGGAAAAAAGAAAAAGAACATCAAGCATGTTTCTCATTAAAGTCCTGAGATCAAGCTCACATTGATTTTCAACCACATAAGTCCACTGATAGGCAATGCCCTCGGAAGCTTCCTTGGATGATTTGGAGGTGAAGATGACCAAGCGCTGATTCTTCTGCACCATGTCATCAACAGTAGGCCAATCTCCGCCATTCTTGGGCATCCGAGACACTGGGAACATGTACTTGCTGAGGCCAGAAGCTTGGAAGATCTTAGTCAGGCCATTAGGGGATGTGACGTAGTCCTCAATGAAGATGGTGACAATTTCTGAGGGATTTTTGTCCAGAAAGGACCGAATGTCTTTGAGCACGTTGACGGCAGGTTGCTGGGGGCACAAATTGAGTGAACTTAGGATTGATTGAGAGAGGCAGGGGAAGATGTTACAGCGTATGAAATATTGAAATGGGCATAATGAAGTTTGTTTGGAGCCGATAGAATGAATGAACAGGGTCACGCACTTACGAATGCTGTGAAGTTGTAACATTTGCCTTGAGCCGAGTGACATAACCACACATCATTTTGAAAGTCATACATGTCCAACATAAGGCCTCGAACTCCATTCTGCACACCCATCAGTCAAGTGAGAAACAATGTGTCAGAAACATGTCGATCATAATATTGATTAATAAGATCTTTCCCAAACGCTATTGATTTTTTTTTTTGTCACGTTCGCAAATTGAGGAATCACAATTGCAACCGTACCGAAGAAATCAATTTAAATATAATTATATTACTTTCTCAAGAGATGGTGAATATTTTTAATAAGTCACGAAATCCTCGCTGTCTGCTATCTCTGTTTTTATTTTTTATTTTTTCAAAAAAGACAGAGAATCTGTTTGTCTTCCAATTTTAATATTCGTTTCAGTATTTCACGATTCATGCCCCCCCCGGGCCAAAAAAAAAAAAAAATCCTTCCGCGACTCCCAAATCAAAAGGGGGGAAGCGTGTATTAACTTGCATCTGTTATAGTAAAATCAGTAGTCAATCAATAATAAAGTAAATCCATGTCTGAACTGAGAAAAAAGGAAAAAATAAGAGCAATCCGAAATGTATACACTTAAGTGAATATTTAAACATGTATTTATAAGCCGCGTCGATTCATTTAGATGGCGAGTCCGATGCTCCCCAGCTTAACAAAAGTGTTTGTGAAATCCGTCAATGTCCTTGTTAAGGTCGGCGCTTTATTAATTTCAAGTCAGCATTATAATTTATAACTTTTAAATGAATTTAAGAGATTAAGAAGGGGGAGGGGGAGACTAAAAATAGCGCATTCCAGAGAACTGTTCGCTAGAATTTTCCGGCGAAGAAAATAGCCCGTTTCTCTAGGTTTAACGGAGAAAAGGAAAGAAAAGGAAGCACATACTTGGAGCTGAGCGGCAACAGTATCTTCCTGATTCATAGGAGCTATGAGGAAAGAACCTGTGGCGGACCTAGCTCCGGCGAGGGCGTAAGAGTTGTGAGTGGTGAGCCACGAATACCGATTGAACGCCAAACCTTTCACCTAAACCCCCAAAAAAAAAAAAAAACTTCAAAAACAATTTAATGAAATGAAAATGGAAAATATGATCGACCTTGGAAGTGGGACTCGCAGGCTGGATCCGGGAACATCTGGGTCGGGTATTCCCATTTGCAGGGCACGTCTGGCAACTGAGGCCGGCGTCGCATTTGTTCTGCGACCCACAGGTTTCTCCGATCTGCCGCCACAGAACTCATATAAAGCATGAAAATATTAGAAAGGATTAAAATCGAGAGGTACAGAAAACATGGGAAGGAGAAGCAAAAGAAAGAAGAGGACCTTGAGGCCGGACGAACAGGAAAGAAGACAAATAGCGATGACAAGGAGAAAGGTTCGTAAATTATGATGAGAAACAAAGGTCTGCAGAAAAAGAAAGAGCGCATGGGAATTGAGTGGAAAAGGAGAGTAAAATGAAGGAAAGGGAAGAGAGGGCATGCAGAGGGTTGCCTTCATGGGTGAAGCTGTTGGAGGGAGAAGGGAAGAGAGACGGAGAGGGAGCTCGGTGGTTGCGGGGAAGCACCTGAAGAATGATGGAAGGAGAAGAAGAGTGAAAGAGACGGAAGATTTGGTGAGGGAGGGCCAGAGGGGAACGAAACACGCGACGTGAAATGTCACAGCCCCATTAGGTACCTTCTTCACCTTCTGTCTTCCACCCTCTCTCTTCCAACTTCCAACATCAATTATAGGATGCTTCTTCGTTCATATCGTATTCATCATTTCATTTGTGTTCTCACCGTTTTTCTAATTAAAATTTAAAATTATTTACTTAACGCCTTAGCTGCCCAGCTTATATATAATCTTGTCATCAATTAGTTAAGAATCGACCTTTTATTATTTAACTGTACTGTGAAAAACGTAATTTCCTTAAAATTTATTCCATAAATTAACGATAGGCATTAGAAATTACATCTGATTTCAGTTTTCTTTGTAATTTAAAATAGTATGAATCATCCTGATATGTATTTATAAGTTATCAGTGTAAGAAAATACGTTCTGTACTCATCAACACATTTTTTTGGCCAAGACAAATTTATCAAAGTATAGTGGAAAATCACATTATTTATGACATGTAAATAACATAACCTTTTTTTTTATATGTTTGCACATATTTTATTAAGAAGTAATTTTTTAATATTTTATAAACATTTTAAAAGAGTCTGTGTATTAAAAAAAATAAATGCAAGATCTTAAGACTTACTGGACGAGGGAGGAAATAGTTACCTGTTATTAGTGATCACAACAGAAAAAAGGAGAGTTGATTATTGATTAATATGAGAAAAAAGAAAAGGTGAGGTAAGAGGAACGGAGATTAGCGTCCGGAACTGGAAGACAAAGGGAAAGGGGGTGAAATGTGAAGGGAGGCATAATATAATATTATTGCCTTTGATACCCATACTACTAAGGCCGGGGGCATTGTTAACTTTACAAATTTATCATTTTTAAATTTTTAATTTATAAAATTATATTAATTTATTTATAAACTTAAATTAAATAAAATTTAGTTAAACTCACAAATTAAATTTTTAAATTTATTATTTTTATATTTTTAAGTTATAAAATAGTGCTTATTTGCTCATAAATTTATTGAACAAAGTAAGTATATATTGTGTAGAACGGTGATTTGTAAAAATAATAGGATCTGGTTTAATAAAAAATCCTAAAAAACAAAATTAATATTACTAAAAAATATAAAAAATAAGTTGTCCCATTTTAAAATGTATATATTAAGTATAATAATTTATGAAGACAAATAAATTTAATTTTTTTAAAATATATTTAAATTAAATTATAATCATATTTTATATTTTAATTATTTAATTATATATTTTTAAAAATTATTTATTAATAAAGATAAATTTTCATGAGTTTATATTTTAAGTGTATACCTGAGTCATGAGTGTATTTAAACTCATTAGTTTGAGGGCAACATAGGGGATTAGACAAGGACACGCAATGACACGCAATGACACGCAATGTGCCTAGTGTGTAAGGAGGGCGAGAGTTCTTCGCATTCATGACTCACGTACGCGCTCTTCTCACTGGGACCGTGGACACCTGTTCGTTTGTCGCTGTCCTTTCACATTGTAAAATAATACTCCCAAAATTATTAAATAAAATTTTATATATTAAAAAATTTATTAAATATATTTTATAATGTACAAGCTTTTAAAAATATTTTTTATTTAATATTTTATTTAAAAAATTAAAGAGAAAAAATATAAAAAGAATAACATTAAAAAAGTACATTTTTATTAAAGTATATTATATTTTAAAATATTAAATCTTTTCTACAAGTGTCTTATAATTTAAAACAAAAAGAATAATACGCATTCCATGAGGCAAAACCTTTTAATTAAAATCAATTAAATATAATTTAATTTTTATAATTTTAACTTGACATAATTTAAATTTTATAATCTTGACTTTTTAAAATGGTAGTCCTTAACATTTAAGTTATTAAAATTATATAGATAAAGTTTACTTGCTCTGTTTTTATCAAATTAAAATTATAAGCACTGAATTATATTAAATTAAAAGGTTAAAATTATAAAACTTAATAATTAACTTACCTTTTCTTCTCAAGTTCGTAACACCTTTTTGTTTTTTTATTTGGTATTCTTTTGTCTGAATAGTGGTACCTTTCCTTTAATTATAATGAATTGAATGAACTAATGATAAAAAAGAGCAATTGGGTTTACATACGTTTTCGCCCGCATCGTATTCTTCACTAATCTAATCAAGCCAGGAAAAGGGGCGCTACAATTGTCTGTTGTATGCAATACAGCCATGCAGGTGTAAATTTGAACACGTATGACGTATATATTTACAATATACGTACTTGCCTTAAAAATAAAGAAGAATTTCAATTAAGAATATATGAGAAGAGACTTAATTTTATATGGGTTCAAAAATATTCTGATATTTTATTTCAGTTCATAGGAAAAAGTTAAAAGAATTTTAATTGTAAAGACCAAAATGCTTTTCACCCATTATGTAGAATAATTAGTTATTAATTTTCTTACTTTACTTGTTAATTTACAAATGTGAATTGCAAATTATATAAGTTAACATGTCAATATTATATAAGATTTTCACCATCAATTTTTCAATCATAAATAATAATATCAGTTGTTAAATTGATAACTTTACTTATTAATTTATTAACATCAATTATAAATTTCTAACATGTCTTATAATTTATTAATATTAATCATGAATTACTAACAGATTTTATAATTTACAACTGATGTTAATGAATTAATAAGTAAAATTAATAAATTAATAATTAATATTATTGATTGTTAACAAATGAATATAATTTATAAGTGATATTGATAAATTAACAAAGACAGTAAAAAATTAATAATTAGTAATTTTATATAATATGTAAAGAGTACTTTGATATCTCCACGGTCAAGATTCCTTTAACTTTTTTTCCTGGATTAAAGTAAAATTTCAAAAAAAAAATTAAACCCTTATAAAATTAAGTCTCCTCTTTAATCTTTGAAATTCTCTCTAAAACTAATATTTATTCATGTGTGTGCGTACTTAATAAAAAAAACACGTGGATTTGTGGTGCTTAAGAATAATGAGACAGTGACTAATAAACAAGTGCCTTTATTTGTGCGTGGCCAACATGTGAATGCCTGTTGTAGGCACAGCATTTGGCTGGGATAACACTCTGGCAAAAGACAACAAAAAAAGTGGTTGAACATCCGAATCACATGCATGAGTCTGTGTGTGTCAACAGTGCTTTGCTGGGAAAAAAAACATTGTTTAATTTAACAACGTCTATTTACATATTGATCACATTTGATGGAAAATAAACATTTTTCAATTAATCAATAAACAATTTGCAATGTTCAGTGACAGTTTCGTTCTTTTTCCTTTTCTTTTTGTTGGATATAAAAAGTGACCGGTGAATTATACAATAGATATACAGGACAATTTCAGTAAACTGACGAAGTGAAAAACGCCCTTGTCCGAATGGTATATTCATTTAGAGATTTACCATACATTTAAATAAATAAGAAGAAATACCACTGATTTCAAGGATAATGTAATTTTTAAAACACGGAGTGCTATAAATCATCTGATATGGTTCGCTCAAAAACATCGAGGTGTTTATTTATGACCTATTGTAAAGCATCAGAAACTAAATATGTTGTGTGATGTTTTATAAAAAAATTAATTATTTAGCTTATGTAGTTTTAATCCAATTCTAACTTAGCACTTAAATTACAATTCATTGTAATTCAATTCTTATAATTTTAACTTGATTATAACCTAATTCCTAACTTTTAATTACAATTTTAGTTACTATCTTTTAAAAAAATAAAATTATAAAGATTAAAAATATTTTAAAATTATATTATTCACAAAATTTGTAAAGATTAAAAGGGCCAAATTATAAACAAAAATTACAACTGACTTAATGTTTGTTAATATATATATATATATCCTCGATATGATTGAAGAGTGATGCACTTTCCCCTGGTTGTATACTGGCAACTGGCATGAGCCAACAATGAAAAATTGAATAATGTTTTATACTGAAGATCGAATTATTGAAACATCTAGAAAATGACTCATAAGTAAGCCACGAGTTTTCAGACAAGACTATGAAAAAGATAAGAATCGATGGAGGAGAACTAAGAAATGAAAGAAGGAGAAGCATTCTATGGAACAGAGTTGTAAGGTTTTAAGGTACCTTCCAAGCACAGCTTCGAAAATAAAGGGAATAAAGTGGGGTTTAATTCAAAGCTGCGTTGGATCAGGGTTGCTGCAGGGGAATAAAGCTGTACTCGGATTCTTCCAGGGCACTGAATGTTATTAGGAATTTCTTCATGTGCAACGGCGGAATACTACCTTCCAGTTTATTTTCAGACAAGGCTCATCGGCTGGCTCATGCCATATGCATAATATGGAAGTTCGTTTGTAATCATGTCCAAGACATACCAGAAGACTCATGCCATATGCATAATATGGAAGTTCGTTTGTAATCATGTCCAAGACATACCAGAAGACTGCAAGAACTCACACCATCTGGAATCGAACTTCGATCATATAACGGCATCAATTTTTAACCCTACAGTTACCTTCAGGCTTCATCCCTCTGTATTAAAAAAAAAAAAAACGAGGAGTTTCCAAAATTTTCATTTTTTTAAAAAAAAGGAAGAAAATGTATTGATCAATTAATAACCTATTACATCAATAATCATACACACACAAAAAGTAGAAAGAGGGAGAGGAGCAACGATGGTTGTAAGTAGACAGAAGGAAGTCTGAAGAAACAATGTATAGAAGAATGTTGAAAGAAACAATGAAATAGCAGCTCCAAATGTTGTATCGGTGAAAAAATGGAATAAATTAACAACGGACAAAGTTAAAAATGAAAAACAAATTTACGTAGATTCCAAAGATACAGGGGGGAGGAAACAAGTGTAACCTATGTGTCATACGGAAGCCAACAAAGTTCCCAACGCCAAAATAAGAGCAGCTGATTGCAGCACACGGCCGGCTTTAATTTTGCCGTTGGAATGGGAAGGCTGGTTTGATCCTCCATCACCCAAGGCTGCCGGTGGAGGCGGAGATATCACTGGCACATCGCACGTCCCAAATGTAGCATTTGCCTGCTCGTAATTTCAACCAAACTCATTTTTAAATTGTAATCTCCACCCAAAGCAGATAATCACTTGTGATCTGTGGGAACAGATGAGTAAACCAGAAAAAATAAACTGCAAAGTAAGAATGGGTTGTAGAAATATAGAACCTTGCAGTAGGCGATGTTATCGCAACCGCAAGTGAGATGACCATTGGCTTCATCAACAGCTTCCGGGGATCCTCCCCCATCACTCCTCTTCATCAATCAACAAACACGGTGGATCAACACATACACGTACGCTCACACATGGTGAAAAAAGATCAATAACGAGGCGAATGATGGTGATGACATTAGGATAACGTACCTGATAAAAGTCAACAGCTATGAAATTCGGCCACCGGTTGCCCGATGCTTGATTGCAAGTGTTCATCATGCTAAGCACTGGCGCTGAATTGTTTGCGCAGGCTTGCGCTGCAACAGGGTCTGTCGGAAAATAGTTTACCAGAACCAGGGACTTGGATTTGTTGTCCATCGCGGACGACTCTGCACGTTTCGGACATGATCCAGCTTGCATTCCATCATCCCCGTCTGATCATTCATGCACAATATATATCAACACCATCAATTAATGTTTGATCCTTATCAATCTATATAGAAGAAGCTCACATTGGTTTTCGACGACATAGTTCCACTGGTAAGCGATGCCCTCGGAAGCTTCTTTGGATGCTTTGGAAGTGAAAACAAGGAGGCGCTGGTTCTGTTCAACCATGTCGTCGACGGTGGGCCAGTCAGCACCATCCTTGGGCATCCGAGACAGGGGAAACAAGTAGTCGGAGAGGCCGGAAGCGTTGAACACCTTGGTGAGCCCATTGGAAGATGTAACGTAGTCTTCTATGAAGATGGTCACTATCTCTGTTGGGTTTGCCTCCAAAAACGAACGTATCTCTCTCAGCACGTCGATGGCAGGTTGCTGCCCAAATCAAATCACACGCCTTTCGCTTAATGTAATCACTACTAACACCCAAACCATTCACATTTCCCCAACTTTACCGGTTTATAATTCTCATCATGATATATATTATGCATTAATTAATTGCACTTACAAATGAAGTGAAGTTGTAGCATTGCCCACCGAAGGAGTGACACAGCCAGATGTCGTTTTCAAAGTCGTACATGTCTAACATAAGTCCTCGAACGCCGTCCTATGATTTGCACCCAACCAAAAAATAATCAATTCACATTAATCCACACATACTATGGGTTGTGATGGTAGTTACGCGCTTTAAATGATCTATAATATATCTCATCTCATAACTCCTAATGAATTAATTGGAGAAGATATGCAGTTCGCCATCGTATATATGGTTCGCTAATTAATTGGAGAAAAAAAGTAAATGATAGATCCCATATACTCCTTCGCCGTTCAAGTTGATTTGGTAACAGTTGACAGGAACTTCTATGTGAATCATTAATAAAGAGTAAAGACAGCGATATAATTGTTGAGTAAACGAATCGGAATTGCAAATGAATGATAGGAAGAGAGGTTACATTGAGCTGACTGGTGACGGAGTCTTCCTGGTTGGTTGGGGACAGGATGGCGGATCCGGTGGCCGAAGTAGCGCCAGAGCGAGCGTACGAGTTGTGCGTGGTCAACCATGAATACCTGTTGAACGCCAGACCTTTGACCTAATCACGTCAACACAAGAAACAAAATTCACCGTTGAATTCATGTTTAGATCAAACTGAAGGACGCCAAAACAACAATCATCCGGATCAGCAGTTAAGCAGAATCAGACCTTGGAAGTGGGGCTCGCAGGCTGGATCCGGGTACACCTGGGTCGGGTATTCCCATTTGCAGGGCACGTCTCGCAACGAAGACCCGCGTCACATTGGTTATCCGACCCGCAAGTTTCTCCTAACTGTCGTCCCCTTCCAATGAAAAGACAAATCGAAGTTAAATTATCAGGCAAGTGTCAGAATTTGAACGATCAGCAGTCATCAAACAATTCACAACAATAAAATGAAGACCTTAAGACAGGACGAGCTGGTCACCATGCAGAGTACCATCAAAACCAGTGGAATCTTTGAAGTGCCAATGCTGCCCTCTAACCTCTGCAAGGGAAAAAAGTAGTTGTTAAGTTACCGGTGTACCAGCACAAAAAAAAAAAAAAGAAAAGAAAAAAAAAGAAAAAACAGTTACTAGGTAGCTTGCCTTCATTTTTGGGTTTAGCCCTCTTCAGGCAAACAAAGTTTCTTGGTCGAGAATAGTGAGGGGCATATCGTATGACGGTTGTGAAAAACAGAAGCTGATAAGAGCCTGGATTATGAGTGGGAGGAGGGCCAAGTATTTGAACAATTCAGCCTAAATTTGTAGAAAAGTGAACATGTTGATCTAGAAAAGTATTATGCGTTGATTAAATACTAAGATCGACAACAGTTCATACATGGTGGACTGGTTTGCTGCATTACTGTTTGAATATTACAAAAGGGGATCTTTGACCAAAAAAAATAGAGAGAGAACATTACAAAGGGGATGCTTCGTGGGATATGAGATGAAGGTTAATTTTCTTTCTTTCTTTTTTCTTTTTTTGGGGGGTGGGGGGAGGATTGTTTTGTTGAGTGTTCATACTCTGCAAAGTCAATTTACCCGTTCGAAACACAAAAAGTCAGAAGGTTTACCGTTTCCATTTCTAGAAGCATACGTCAATTTCAACTTGAACGATAGCATTATCGTTAGCTGGAAGTTGTACCGGTCTCTACCCAAGGAATGTTTCCTTTTTACTGTTTCTCCATGTGAAATTATAAAACAATTTCAGATAAAAATCATACACACCAATAAAACATGATAATAATATTTTACAATTTATTTTTTTAAATAAAATTACAATATTTTTTAAAATATCACTACTCATTTAATCATTGTTATAATATTATTTAATTTTTTTTCATGAATCATATTAAAAAATATAATTGATAAAGCTTTATTTTTTAAAATTTTCTTATGTTTAGAGACAACACGATTTTTTTAAAATTATTTTATAATTTAAAACAAACGTCATGATATCAGAATGAAAACAATAATCCCTTTAAAACAAGCCTGTTGTCAGCATCATCACTTTGCCGCGTCACCATCACGCGTCTCGTGTATCAGGCGCCAAAACTTGTGGACCCCATCTTTTCATTATTAAATTTCACTTTTGCCCTTCTATAGTTTCTATGAAATAATTTCTTCTTCTTCTTCTTTTAAAATTTTGGATTTTAATTTTAATCTATATCTATTCCTTTTTCTTAAAAAATTAATGTTATTTTATTCAAACAAATCCAGAAGCTTCTCCTCAACCTTTCATTTTTTATCCCGTTTATCAAATATCATCATCAACATTTTACGTTTATTTGTTTATTTCATTCTGCCAACAAATTACTTAACCTCTCATTAAATCAAAAAATAAGGTTTTGTTTGGATATTATGATAAAATGAATTGAAAAAATTAAAACAATAATGAACCAAATCACCTTTCTTTATATAGTAAACATGATAAAACTTATTAATATATATTCATTGGCGAACAACAAGTTATCAAGCATATAAGAGACGTTGAGTCTCAATTGATAACAAAAAGGGTTCTCGGGCTCTCTTACCACAGTTTATCTGAATGTAAAAAATACATAAGACTTTGTAAAATAAGTGTTTGATTATTATTGAAAAATAAGTTAATTACAAATCTAAACTGAAAATAAAACTAATTGAGAAACTTAAAAACTACGGGTGTAGAATGCGAGTTTTTTTAGTGTTGACTATTTTCTTCTTCTATACTTTGGTACTCTATTTATAGTGACAGAGTAATGACAACCTCCCTCTTAGTACCTAAAATGTTTTTCTAAAGAATTGGGGATTCTATGAAACTCGTGACATGATTTTTACTCATTGTCTTTCATTTTTGATAGCCAACCCATCTTGTTGAGATACTTGGCACGATAATGCTGCTCCTGCAAGATTCGAGATCATTTAGGATCATGTCTTTATGTACTAATAATTTAGGGTTTGCAACTGGCGAGATTTTAACATACTTATCCCGTCGTGGCTTTCCATTGATCTCAAGGTCAGCCCCTTTGTTTACACTGTTGATTGGGCCTGACTCTTCAATCACTTAGTCCATATGACTTTATGACCTACCTAATGTTTTAACAAGTGATGTTTCATATTTAGCTCAAATATTATATATTAGAAATATAAAAATCATCATATTTTTTAAAAATTTCATGAATTATAATTTCTAACCACAAATATTAAATTACTCCTTCTTTTTATAATTATACTCACCCATTTTCGTTAATTAGTTTTTTATTTTTTTAATTTATTATATTTCATTTTTTTTTTCAGTAAGTAAATGGGATCTAAATTTAAAAAGTAAAAATGAAAAGGGCCCCTTGATTATAAATTTAATACCTCATCCAGCTTTGAAAATAATTTTGATAAAAGTCGAGATGAAGATGATGAGATTTTAAAAAGTTTGATATATTTATAAAATTAAGAGCTTATTTTTATTCAATATTTATATTTAAAATAAGAAAATTGAAGAAGGACCATCACAAATCACTGTAACCATGAAATCAAGAAAGAAGAAAGAAGAAGAAGGTTCACCTTATTACTCATGGGGATTGTACAAAGGCAAACAAAAAATTAAATCACGCATCTACCAGTTTATATTGAAAAACTCAAGAACAAATAGCTCAACGCAGTGGTTGCTCTGCAATCAATGAGAACATATGCGGGCTTCCTTGAGTTTCCTAGAAACAATTTACCCAAAACGATTTTGATTGAAAAACTCAATAACTAACAGACTGACATGTGAGTTTCATGAATTTTCGCTAGAAGCTTAAGTACAAGTTGAGTATAGCTTTAGGAGGTGTTTGGAAGAGAGAGATGATGGCAAGGAAATGCGAGAAGAGGATGAGCAGAGAGGGAAGAAGGCAGGGCATGGTGTTTGAGCAAAACAGTGAATAATAGATATGGCATTGAGGTACGAGAAATCACGAAGGAGATGGAATCTGCCACTAATAAGCTTTAGCCAGATACAATGAAGGAAAAGAAGAAATCACGAAGAAGACAAAGCAAAAGGCATAAGAGATTGCAAAATCGTAATCGAAGTTCAAGACGAGAAATCAATGGAGGTCGCTAGATGTCATTACTTGCAGATTTGGAAGGCAATGGTTTCCAAATCATGCGATGGTTTGAACTAGACTTGATCGTCTCCTTCACCTCTTAACGCTTCTTCTCCCCTCCTGGCCACTCTAATTCCATTCTGGATGTTAACTGCAGCTAGGAAATCTTGCATAGTGCTATCTGGTAACCAACGATGGTGCTCACTGCCATTAGGGCAGTGCTTGCAGTTAGGGATAGAGGAAGGGAAATAGCAAGGAAGATAATTCGAGAAGTCTACTTTGGTGAAATTAGAATCGGAAAAATTTTCAATTTCACCATACTGGACAAACTGTTTTTTTTATTTTTTATTTCAATTCTAATTTCATATCCTCCAATTCTATCATACCAGAGGCGCACTAAAATTTTTCCTACAGAACCGTTATCTTTTATGAATCTTTGTAAGTGAAAATCGGATCCTATACATGAAGTAAGCATGGTCAAAGAGGGAGATCATAATCATAAAAAATGAATTTTGATTCGTCAACATTTCGCGTTTATTTTTTCCCTTTCTACAAACAAGAAATACATGGTCTTTAATTAACTCAAAAATCTAAAAACTAAAAGGTGGAAATGAAAAGGATTCCTCATTCTAAAGCTTTCCCCACAGCATCATTTTCTTTCATGAATTTTTGTGGGCGAGGATGGGATTCTATAAAAGTATGCATGGGCAGAGAAAAATGATAATGACAGAAAGTCCTCATCTATCCTATTTCAAGAATACTTTTTCCCACGTAACGCACTAGGCAAATCTAGTTCATGAGAAGTGGGTACACTTTCAATCCCAATAAAGAGTTGCTGCACTTTCCCCAAATTTGGGCCCTTCTGGGAACAAGTCTTGGACCTCTCGGGTTTTGAGCAACACCGACTGTTTCCAGGACAATAGGCCCGATACCCGAAAGACAAGCTGTTTGAGACCGAAGAGTTTATCAGCCCAAAAACAATACACACACACACAATCTCAAAACATGAGCAATTTTCATTTTTTAATTCCTTCTTTCCTTTGTTCTCTTTTCTTACACATCTTCCTCTGTTTTATATATATATATATATATATATTAAAAAGTTATTCACACAGGATCAGAGCCAGAGTTAACTGCTACGGTGGATCATGCTTCAGGGAGGGTGAGAGTTGAGTTGAGGATTTGCGATTCCAGACAATAATTTATTTTGGAACCGATGAAATCTGAATCGGGGATTCAGCAAGATGAATGGTTATAAATTTTTTTTGCTAGTGACGCATGTTTTAGAGAATATCTAATCCGGCCTGGGAATCCAGAATCAAATTTGAAAATTGATAGGAATCACGAATCATGGGGACTCCAGAAAGAGATTATATCAGGATCCTACCTTTGCATAGCTCGAGAGAACTCTATCTAGTCTCTTGTGCAATTAAGTACGTGGAATTCTAGACAACATCAAAGTCATTTCCACAGCTCAAAAGAGCTTCGCCTTTAAGCATGTCCAACTTGGGGGGTTTGGCAGCCGCATCCAGAGACAACGGGTAAATACCCACTTAACATTAACCTCGAATTTGTCCTTTATTTCACATAAGTATGCGTTCAAACCTCAATCATCACATGCTATTTCTTCTTCTTCCTTTTAAACGACATGCACCTATTACCATGTCAAATTCTCAAAAGAAAAAAAAAATTGCTTTTTCAAGAAGGGTGGCTGGGTTGGGGAAAACGATTTAAAAAATGCCAGAACGCCAACCTAGAAGTAGCGCGGTCGAAATTTCTGTACAGTAGTCGCAAGCGACACAGATAAAAATGAGAACCATCAATTGGTGTATTTACAGCTAAAAATTAACATATAAGAAATGGGGTGAAAAATCCGCTCTCTGTTCTACCACTCAACTACTGCCTACCGAAATTTCTATTCACATCTCACACACATCCAACTGTCAGATTCCGACCAATTTCGCGTCTGATTCGTCACCAATTTTCGGAGCCTATCCTCCGCCGAACTGTTATCGGACAGGCGCCACGATTCAAATTTCCATTCGCAACAGGCATCCGTTTCCGGTGAAATTGGAGCCGAAGGTGCTGCCTTGGAAACCCAATGTGGAAAATCGAAGTGGCTTCTTGGGGACGTCGATGGCTCCTCCACACGATCCAATGAGACGGTTTCATTGGCCACAAAGGGATGCTCCAAGAGCTTCTCCGCCGTCCATCTCTTTCTAGCATCCTTCACCAGACACTTTCTTACAAAATCCTTCCCTTCTTCTGATAAATCACTCGGAATCCCAGGTAATTCATCTGCCGCCCCAATCCTCATCAACAGCGAGAAAATATTGGAGCCATCCTTGAAATCCCAGGCGGGTTTTCCGGTGACCATCTCTACCACCGCACACCCAAGGGCCCATATATCCACCGGAGATTTGTACTCGTTGTCATTTACTGATTCAGGGGACATGCACACAGGAGTTCCCCTGAGCTCATACTTGGTTTCTCCACTGCCCTGTTTTCCCCCTGACTTCTTGGCGAGTCCAAAGTCTGCAATCTTGACCTCTCCACTGCCAAAGAGAAGTATGTTGGGAAGCTTTATATCACAGTGAACGAAGCCGTTAGCATGAATGTGCCTGAGGCCCTGGAGGATGGACCTGGTGTATCGGCGGACATCGGATTCCGGCAACCTTCCGCCGTGAATCTTGAGCTGATCGGCTAGACTACCGCCGGCGGCGTATTCCAGGAACAAATTATAATACTCGGAACCGTTCTCGAAGGTAGAGTCGTGGCCGAAACACCTGATGATCTGGGGGCAGAGTCCGAGCCGATTAAGTACGTATTGTTCGTTCTGGAGAGAAGAAGAAGCTCGGACACCAGCGGACTTGACGGCTGTAAGGGGTGGAAAGTGAGCAGAAGTATCTCTGGGAATGGCCAAGTGAATGGAAGCAAAGGCTCCGGCACCAAGGGAGGCTCCTCGATCCCACCCCATGGATTTCTAGTGCTTTGAGAGGAAGAAACAAAAGAATGAAAGTAACCAGCGAGGGCCGAATTCACAAGAATAGAGAGAGGGAAATATATATAGAGAGAGTAGGGAATGAAGGGGGTAGGGGTGAAGTAAAGGCATAATTGGAGCACGTGATAGGTGAGGAGGGAGGATATTTGCCATGGGAGTTTCCAAATTTGGCTGAATTAGCGTACCTGGGGAGACGCTGTCACGCTGACCAAGTGCTCCCATATGCTATGAACCTCTCCTAGTTCTACTATTCAATGTTTGGGGAACGCCTAATCTGGTCAGGACTTCTTTTTATTCATTCAACTTTGACCTTTCAATTCAACCCTCGTCAGCTCTGCATTCCTGTAGCTCGACCACATCCCTTCACGTAATTTGCCCCCGCAAGCCGCGCTGTCTGTTTGTGTTCTGCTTCCTATTGGTCCCTTTAGTTCACATTTATCTCCTTGCCTAATTACTTAGGATTCATTTTGAATTCCTCTAATTTGGCGTCCACTGATTCATTAACCATGTCCTCCTCATTGCTACTCTGCATAGGTGCATCGAATGACTATGGCATTGTTTGATATGATGCAAGAATTTTTAATGTAATCAGAATTGAAATTGAAATCAGAATATAATTGAGTTATAAATGTATGTTTGGTATGAAGATGGAATCTGAATATAATATTAATAAATATATGTATTTAAAATAAATAAAGACTAAAATGTCCTTATAAAAAAAATAAAAAACTCAACCATTATGATGGAATGTGTATGTGAGGCACTTATGACAATTTCGTGAAATTGTGTCAATTCTATCATGATGGAGATGGAATTGAATTCTGAGTATTTTGATAAATTAAAATTTATAAAGAATTGGATTCATGTATATCAAGCTATTAAAAGTATGATTTCAATTTTATTTTTATTTTTTTAAAACTTAATTTTAATATATCAAATATGACCTATGATCTTTCGTTTACTCGAATCTTTGTAACAAAGTATTGCCCTTTTATTTTCATCCTTCCAATACAAGTGCAATCTCGTCCCCAGAAAATATTGTATAATCGAGAAACGTACAATTTAATTAAGCCCTCATTCCAGAGATAAAATTGTCCATCGCTGGCGCAATTCAATAACTGAATTATCCGATTGAAAACCTTCTTTTTTGTCGGCGGTGGTCCTAAATAGTAACTGGTCGAAAAGCAGGGAGAAATGAAAAAATTAGAACGGTGATAAATTTCATGGATTCATAAATATAATAATCGCTTTACTCTAGTTTTGAAATAAAATCACGTGATAAATAAGTTAATCCTTTTTTATAATTAAAGATAAATAAGTTAATCCTTACCCTCTGTTTCTTATTTATTGCTATTAGTTAATAATTAGTGATAAGGTCGGATCTGATGGGTAGTTGGCGTCAAAAAAAAAAAAAAAAGGAAACGAAAGGTGGGTACGTAGCTCCATTAATTAAATCGTGTTTTAAATGATCACTAGTATTTTTTTCAGGTTACAATATAAATTATTGGTAAGATGTGGATTTTCTAAAAATCTCCCTATCTTTCCAATCTTAACTTCAAGGATAATAAATATAACAATTAATTTATTGAAGACATCTTTATTAATTACTTAATAAAATAAAGGTGTAATTAAAAAATATTAAACACCTGTTCAATACTTTATATTTTAAATTAAGATTTCTAAAAAGCGATTTATATTATAATTTGGAAGGAGTAATTCGTATTTTACATATAATGCTCTGGGTTCGTTGCATGTTTAATGTTCCACGGAACGGAACTTTGAACCCGTTTTCTCACCCAAAACAAAAAAAGTATTCCCCGGAATTAGCTTCAAGCGTTGCATGTCGTAATCATGATATATACGCTTGTCCCGTCGAATCATCGTGCAACACTCGCAAAACGTGCATTTAATTTGGATCTGTAGAGAAACAGGTATTGCCAATGCATCTTCCTATATCACCTGTGGTGGAGCTAGAAAATTTTATTGATAGAGGCAAAACATATATAAATAAATATTAATATTTTTGAAACACTTTTCCTAAATTAATATTTTCTAAAATATAATTATAAATATTTATTTAATTAATCAAAATTAAATCCATTAAAATTAATCAAATTTTGTGTTGAAAATGATAGAATAAGGTAATTATTAATATCACATGCTAATACTCTTTTTTGATGAAAAGACTCATACTCTTTTAGAATAAATATTTTTAATGCAAATAACAAAAAATATTTTATAATATACAAAACTCTCCTAAACTTTAAGATAACAAAATTTCTTTTACTTTTAAAAGTTTAAAATTAATCTCTCTAACTTTTTATTTTGTTATCCTAGATTCTCTTACTATTATTTTTTAATTATTTTATTAACAAAAGTTGTCATTCATGTTAAGAAAAGATACATAACACCTCATGTGACATTTTATATAAGCTCATAATAACTTTGTAAATATTTTGTCCATATTTTTCTATTATTAGTGGTACATATTTTTCTCATTTAAATGAAGGATAAATTTTTATTGATATAATTCGTTCTTAAATTGTGTTAAAAATCATTAGAATATTTTTTCAATGTCAAATGCGATATGTATCTCATTAATTTGATGTCACAAACTTTGCTAATAAAATAACAGAGTTGTTAACAATAGGGGTCTTTGAAAAGAAAAAAAAGACTAGAGAGGTTAAATTTAAAGGTTTAAAAGAAAAAAAAGTTATATGTAACTGCGTTAAAGTTTATGAGAGTTTTATAGATTTTAGTCTAATTTTATATATTTGTATGAATAATATTAACAAGATGCTTTCTCTTATGAACCAATTTGCAAAGGTTTTTGCCACAAATTAAAAAAGTTGTAGTGGAATGACTGAGAAATTGTTGAGGCGAGAAGAATGAAATTTTTTTAAAAAAACTTAAAATGATGCAAGAGGGGGCAAATAATATTTTTTTTATGGGCGCAAGTGATAATTTCCTCCATCCTATAACTAAGAGGTACTATTGATTTTAGCGGGGGCAGCTGCCTCCTTTCTCTTCAACGCAGATTCATCCCTGCCAGCATATATATTTGCCAGCATCTACAAAAGAAAGATTGTTTTCCCGTTTCTCCACTTAGTCAAACTAAGAATATTATTGCATAGGGCAGTCGAAGTGATTATAACTTTTTTTGTCAAAATTAGGAATATAATTGAAAAAACATACAATTTTTAAGATTTCAATTAATTTTTAAGAATCATGAAATAGTTATTAACAGGAATCTGAGGGGGTTGTATATATGCATGAATCTGAGGAGGCCTAGCTTTAACCATCAATGTCAATGAACATGAACACATACAAAGGCAAGAAAAGGAAGCATGTGAGGGTCGGCCGCGGGAGGGAGAAGCATGACAAAGCTGGCATGGCCCACCAAAGGGTCGGCAAGTGAATGCAACCATAACCTCCGCATTTGAAGCAAGTCCCCTTCCAATCGGCTTCTGAACTCCAATTATTTTCCTCGCCCCCAAAAAATTTAAACAAACATTGATTTTTCCTATTATTTTTTATTACAAAATATACAAACGTATTATATTATTCTGATGTTAAAGGTCAGAGAAAATCAGAAAAAGTATAGATTTTTACTCAGTCTCACACTCTACAGCCTTTTCCTTTATTTTTTTGTAGCCTTTACAACAAATTGATGTCTTCGGAATCCAGTTAGAAAATATATGCACTTGGTTTTTTTTTTTTGGGTATATGATATTTACAATAATCCACATGAGATCGCCGACCAGCTCCCACTAGAGATTTTGAAGATTTTCGAGAAATGACCACCTCAATTCAGGCATCTAAAATGATATATATAATGATATAAAACGGTGTGCGTGTGACACAACTGGCAGGAAAAATTGTTGGGCAAGTGATTGTTCTGAATGGAAGCTGTGTTTCATCATGTATGGCATTTTGCATCATTTCGCTGTTTCACGTGAATTTTCCAATAAAATATATCCTCTACTTGCTGACAACTAAAAGCACCTTAATAAAATCTATGGCGAATCTACCGTCGTCGTCTTCATCATTAATTGTTTCCCCCCCCCCCCCCCAAATCATCATTATTGGTTGAAGCAAATCCGATTAATGTTGATTCCCTATCTAATAATTTTTTATGAGAACATGCAATTATTACTCACTAAGTAGAGGGGAATGCGATCTCCTTCTGTATATGAGTACACTGTTGCAATTAAAGGTACAGGGACGGCTGCCTATACTCTTCATCATCCCATAGAAGCATAAAAAGCGGACAATTATGTTAACAAAAATTAGTTAAAGGAAGTTCGACTAATTAAACTTGTACCAAAACACGATGAGTTTCTAGGCTTGTCCTTAATTGAATGGTTTATCTCTCTCCGCACAGTAAATTGCTTCGTTTTTTGTTGAATAATTTTATAAGAGGCATGGAAAAGATATTCAGTTCATGATCTTAGATAATTTTAAAAGTGACTTAAATATTTTGCATCAATAAAATACTCTTGTGATTAATCCTTAAATATTTTTATTTTCAAATTTGATGATAACTTCATATAAAGAAGAGCAGTTTGAGAAAGATACCATAGATATTTTTTTAAAATTATCATTTTTAAACAAAATATTAGGTCTAATTTCAAATATTAGGTCTAAATTTTTTAAAATAATAATGATTGACGTAAAAAATAATCATTTGAAACTAATTATGTCCAGGTTAAAGGATTAAAAAGATATCATAAAAAATTAAATGATTAAATTAAAACCTTATATAAAGTTAAATGATTAAAAGTATACTTTAGCTTGAGAACCTATAACACTAAAAAATAAAAGTGTATGAATCTAAAATATCAAAAAAAGTATAGAAATCTATAGCAAAACTCAAGCAAAATGCAAAAATTTAAAATTATATTTTTTCTTTAAAAAAATATGGAGTATTAAACATGAAGTCAGTAATATGGGCTACATTTACCAGGGTGGCAGGCTATCTATTTAAGCATGTTTTTTAGGATTCTACCTTTGGAAATTGATATGTTTTTTATATAAAAAAAATTTAAACCTAACTTCTTCAAACTTTGAATAAAAAAGCTTAGAACTGAACTACTCGTTTAAACTTATATTTATTTTTATGCCTAAAAAAATATATTTTAAATTTTTAGATTAAATTTAGGATCTAGAATATGTGTCTATGCGTTACAATTAGGATTTATATTACTTATTTTAATTTTTTA